CGGGGGGCAGCACGGGCCGGAGCCCGGCGGGGTACGGGGAGGCCGAGCAGCCGGGCCAGGCCCCCTCTCCGCTCCTCCGTTACCTCTCAGCAGCTCCTGGGTGCCCGGGCCGTACCGGGCTGACCTCACGACCCAGCGCTGCGGCGTCTCCATAGCAACGAGCAGCGCTACGGGAGGAAACGGAGGAGCGGAGCTGCGGGATGAGGGGGCGGCGCGTCGCTCTGCTAACGGCGCTGCCGGGGCACTTCCGGTAGCGGTAAGACGAGAAGCCGGAAGTGGGTCGTACTTCCGGCGGGACGAAGTACGGCGGTGGGGAGGCAACATGTCTGACAACGAGGACAAGTGAGAGCGGGGTTGGGAAGGGGTGGTGGGTGGGCTGCGAACCGCACGGAGCTGCGGGATGAGGGGGCGGCGCGTCGCTCTGCTAACGGCGCTGCCGGGGCACTTCCGGTAGCGGTAAGACGAGAAGCCGGAAGTGGGTCGTACTTCCGGCGGGACGAAGTACGGCGGTGGGGAGGCAACATGTCTGACAACGAGGACAAGTGAGAGCGGGGTTGGGAAGGGGTGGTGGGTGGGCTGCGAACCGCACCCCGGGTCGCAGGGACGGGCCAGGGGGAGCGCCTGTGGCGACCCGGCCCGGTGTGTGCTACCTGCGTGTCCCTCCCGCAGCTTTGATGGAGACGACTTCGACGATGTGGAGGAGGATGAGGGCCTGGAGGACCTGGAGAACGCAGAGGAGGTGGGTGCCCCCCCCGGGTAGGCGGTCGTTGGGGCTGAGGAGGCCTCGGTGGTTTTCCCAGCACCGCGGGGCCTCGGTGGTGGGTGCAGCCAAGCTACAACGCGAGTCTCCTTTCTCTAGGAGGGACAGGAGAACGTGGAAATCCTCCCTTCCGGAGAGCGGCAGCAGGCGAACCAGAAGCGGATCACTACCCCCTACATGACCAAATATGAGCGAGCCAGAGTCCTGGGCACTCGTGCCCTCCAGATAGCGTGAGTATTTCACTCCATGTTCTGAGTGCCACCAGGACTTCTGCTCCCTTCCCAGTGAAAGCTTTCCTCTTTCATTTAAAAACTCCTGGATCTCATGTAATCCCTTACGTGACTGCTGAGCTGGCAGATCACCATCAGGGTCAATACTGAAGCACAGGACTGTGGAGCTCTTGGTTGCATGTGAAGGCTCTGTATGTCCTTGGCTAAGACTGTGGTACTTGTATCTTCAGAGGGAGGCATCCAGCAACTGCAATGAGCTTTCCTAGGTCACAGGCAAAAGGACAAGCTGATCCTGGCTCCTGTCTTTCATAATGGAGCCACCGCAGGCTGGAAAGCTTAAAACTGGCTCAGAAGCCACTGCTGGAGGGAGGAGTGCTCCAGAAAGTCTTCCGTTGATACCACAGAGCTGTAGGAGTTGGGAATGGAGTAACCAACTTGAAATCTATTTTAAGGGCAGTTGCGTTATGGCAAGCTGTAAGTTGTTTTGGTTTTTTTTTAAGCATTTGGAATAGTGGGGCCTTATTTATAATGGGTAATAACATTTAAATCCCGTTTTAAGTGCTGTTAAAGGTTGGCTGCTTTTGACTGCATCCATTTAACTGTCTAGACTTGTTCTAATAATATAAGAAAGTTGTGTACTTGTTGAAAAACTGCCTTATGATCAAGATAATTAGACTGTGGCAGGGTTTGTCTGAAAGCACATCTCTTGAGTTTCATCTCTGTTATATCCATCCTCAAAATAATGCCTCTCCTCTGCATCATTTAGAAGCTCACAGGTGATGATCAGATCTTTC